TGGTTTAACTGAGCAGGACCTAAGTGGACCATGGGTTATTACATAAGTAGGGGTATTGGGCAGGTGGGAGGTAAGGGGGGTGGGTATATACATACATAATGAGTGAGATGTGCACCATCTGGGGGATGGTCATGCTGGAAACTCTGACTTGGGGGGGAGGGGGGAAAGGGCATTTATTGAAACCTTAAAATCTGTACCCCCATAATATGCCGAAAAAAAAGGAAAAAGAATCTAAAAAAAAAACAAAAACAACTTTAGTGGAGAAAAGACAGACAAGTGAACAAAGAAAAGAATAATACATAGGATTTCAATACACTGTACATGCATTCATGTGCTTGATATGTGATTCTGTACTTTACAAATGCAAGACTTCTATAAAAAGACTGAATGTTTCCATTCTAAAAAAAAAAAACTCACGTACAACTTTATAATTACTTAACCAATAATTTTTCCATGCATTGCTACCTCTTATGCAGACTGAAATTATCCTGAGGAGTTCATTATGATAATATAAATTTCATTTTTACACTAATAGCACATTCTACTGTGGGATGTACCTGGAGAGGTGAAACATAACATTTTAGGTCAATTTGTGAATCTAGGCCTCTACAGTCACAGAAAGGAAAAAATTGTTTCATTAGTTCAGAAAAATTTATGTCATTTTTAAGGTCATGGAACTGTAAATCAAGTATGTATCAATGATATAGAAGAATAATAAGGTATCTTGTGTAGTATGAAAAAATACCTCGCATGTCTTATCAGTTTGTAGACTTTGTAGCTGGGAAGGATGAAGCAAGTAAAGGTGCAGTAGTATCAGACTGAGATTGCATTCCTATCCACTTAGTTTTTATGTGATTTGAAGTTTTTGCTGAATTTAAAACTAACGGTTAGGTCCAATAACAGGAAAAATACATGAAAGTTATTAAAGGAAAATTGACATTGAAAAAAGAACAATTGGGATGGGTGACTTGGGTCAGTTAATGGACTCAATATTTTGTGAGTAAAAGTTGGTTGTAGCAGAACATATAACAGAAGTTAGAAACCTGAAATGACCCAGACAGCATGGAGTGAAGTTTCACTTTGAAGAAATGGCTAAATTCATGAATAAATGTTAAATATTTCAGTGTAACATTTCCATCCCAAATATACTGCCACTGAAATCTAAATTGAAATATAGATCAGTTGAGGCATCATTATAAAAATAAACCAAGACATATAAGATTGGGCAGAACATGTTTTCCATAAGAACATGGCTATATTTTGTGAAAGTAAATAGAGCTATAGCAGCACAAAACTGGAGAATGTTAGCAGACATGTTTTATCCTCTCTGGTTCTTACTCCAACTTGTATATTTGTAAGAAGAAATGGTTCATTTCAAATGAGCATGCAAAGATTCTTAGATAAACAAGGAGGCAATGAGAAGAGAGCATTTTAGGGCAGATAAGGTTGAGCATTAGGAATAGAAAGATATGTGCTAGATAAATATATGATCTAGTCAGATTCAAAATTTTCCTCCGACACAATATCCTTCGCTTTCTTTTGTAATCCTAGCTTGCCTGAAATTCACTGACATAGTTTTATAAAATATATAACAGACCATAGTTACTTAAAGTTCTTAAGATGCTTTTTTAAGATGCTCATGTATTTATATAACTATCAACGTAGTCAATTTTAGGTTCTACTTGAGATTAAACTAATCAAATTCCAGCAAGGTACAGAAACATTAATCTTACATAGTGTTATTCCCTCTTCAACATTTTTGCACTACTGTTGTACATATTGCAACTATATATGTTAAATACATTGTTATAATTGTAGGTATAATTATTTACGTAAATAAGCTTATTAAGAAGAGCAAGTACATATATATAGTATTTGCTATACTAATCTTGTATTACATTGCATTATGAAATATATTATATTTCTATATCTTATGGGCCTGAAGATATATATTATTTTATACAACTGCTTTTTAAGAGAAGAAATGAGATGTAACATGCATTTATACAACAATTTGTAATCACAGAATAACTTTTACCAGTGTTCTTTCTTGTGTGGATTCTAATTACTGTGCTAGGTCACTTGATTTCAGACAGAAGAATGTTATTAGTATTTCTTATAAAGCAGGCTGCCTAGCAATTGATTCTCTAAATTTTTATTTAGTTGAGATTACCTTTATTTTATCTTCATTTTTATTTTTTTATTTTTAGTTTTAGTTTTTTAGTTTTTTATTTTTTCATATTATGGGGGTAAAAATATTGTTAGGGTTACATATATTGCCCCTGCCATTCCTCCCCAAGCCCCCCCCACCGCCTTACCAAAACATCAAGCATGTCCTACTCTCAGGTGGTCCTCATCGCACCTATTTTGTAAGTTTAAATTCTTTCCCTCCTTCCCCCTCCCATTTGCCCACCACCCGATAAAATTTCGTTTGTTTGTTTGTTTTTTCCCTTTTTTTGACCTTTGAGTTACATTGGCTGTGGGAAAAATGGCTCCCAGAGCGAAAAGTGAAGAAAGCGGATAGTCACACGTGAGCCATCTGCACTTATCTTCATTTTTAAAAGATAGTTTTGTTCAATGTAAGACTCTTGATTGACTATTTTTTCTTTCAATACTTTGAATGCCTCGAGCCTCTAGAAATCCAGTGCACCACCATTGCACAACAGAGCCACCCTCTTTCAACACTTTGACTATGCCATCCCATTACCACCTGGATTTAATAGTTTCCAATGTTAACTTAGGTGTTAAACTTACTGGTCTTCCCTTTTTTACATGATGACTTGTTTTTCTCTATCTGCTTTGAAGATTTTCTCTTTGTCTTTCTCTTTCAACATTTTAAATATGATGTGTCTTTTTGTGGATTTCTTTGTGTTTATTATACTTGGGTTTCATTAAGTTTGCATGTATAGATTAATTTACATTAAATATTTTAGCTATTATATCTTCAAATTTTTTTTGCTCTTTTCTCTCTCTGCTCACCTCCTAGTATTGCCATTCCTGTAATAGTTCTGATTCTTTCTTCTGACAGTTTAAATCTAATATTGAGCCACTCTAGTGAATTTTTCCTTGCAGTTATAACTTTTGAAGTCCAGAATTCCCATTTATTCCCTTCTACAATAATTTATTTTTGTTGATATTCATCAGAAAGATTGTTAACTGAATTGTGTCTGCCCATAATTCATATTTTGAAGCCCTACCATCCAATGTGAATGTATTTGGACGAAGGGACTTTAAGGAGGTCATTAATGTTAACTGAGGTTTTAAGGCTGGAGCCCTTTTCTGATACCATGTTTCCCTGAAAATCAGACAAGGTCTTATATTTATTTTTCCTCAAGAAGACGCACTAGGGCTTATTTTCAGGTGTTATTCTTTTTTAAGTACAGTACAACAATATACATTTTATTCAAATATAGTTAAGTTGTCTTCTTCTGGAACATCATCATAACTCTCCAAACCCCAAATTCCACCCTGAATTTCTTCCGACTCTATTTCCTTTAGAACCATTGGCCCCAATCTCTCATGTGGAGCAATGGAGCTCTTGTGGGGCAGATGAGAAGGGCTGCTCATCTTCTTTACCAGCCAGTGAAAATGCATGGGTTTTGCAGATATGCTGCATAGCCATGCCCATCACTAGGTCTTATTTTCAGGGTAGGGCTTATATTGCGCAAATGCTTAGAAATCCTGCTAGGGCTTATTTTATGGATAGGTCTTATTTTTGGGGAAACACAGTATTACTGGTATCCCTAAAAAGAGGGAAGACACAAGACAATTCTTGCTTGTGTTGTCTCTCTTCCTCCCTCCCTCTCTCCTTTCCATCCTACCACTCCACACCTCCACTCACAGATGAGAGGTCATGTGAGTAGGCAGCTGTCTGCAAGCCAGGAAGAGAGGCATCACAAGAAACCTTGGCTGTACTTTAACCTTAGATTTTCAGCCTTCAGAACTGTGAGAAAAGAACTTTCTATTGAGATATTCAGTGTAATTTTTAAAAATGACAACCCTGAGCGGGTAATACAGACATTGTCATCATACCTTCCTTTCATGCTTTAAGCATGGTTTCCTTGAATTCTATGAACATATTTATAATAATTGCTTTGTAGTGTTTGACTGCTAAGTGTAACACCTCGGGCTCCCACAAACATTTTTCTGTTGCCTCCTTTTTTTCCCCTATGTTTGGGTCATACTTTACTGTTTCTTTGAATGACTCATAATTTTAAACTACAAACTAGACATTTTATATAATATAGCAAATCTAGATACTGATTTTACCTGTCCTTCTTCAGGGCTTTTTGTTGTTTGATTATTTACTAATTTTTGTGATCATTTTAATTAAGTCTCTTTCTTCCAAAGTAAAAAGCCTCCAAGAGCACAGCCTTGGACATGAATACTGCCACCTTTAAATGATAGTGATTTCAGGAGGGCTCTCTTCAACTGCCTCTTTCCCTTATTTCTCTGTTAAACTCTCTGTCCCTTTTGAAAAAGTATGCCTAACACTTAGTCCAGAAGCAAATTCAGTCATATAACCATTGAACTATATAACAAAACTAACTCTATTGCAGCTGAGCTATCATAAATTTACTTGTCATTTTTTATCAATAGAGGGAATAGGTAACCAATGAAATAACTATCTGTTATATTCTTATCACATCCATCAGCTAGCTTTTCTGCTTTTTCAGATTCAAAGCAACTTTCTTTTCTAATCCAGACATATAAAATGATAAAAATAGCATTTGAAATAGTTGTACCAAGCATATTTTTAGGTTAAAACAGCATTTTATTTTTATGAATTACTTTCTGAATGAATGAGTTCTAAAGCTAATAATATCTAGCTAATGTTCCATTGATCATAAGTACTAGAGTTCTCCAAATTACTAAAGGAAACTCATAAAAAATTTGCCAATATAGTAACAACTTATAGGTACAGCTGTCATCAAAGATCTATATTTAACTGCAGAAAAGCTAAATAAATCATGAATACTAGACTTGATTCTTGTTCTTACCTGTGTGACTCTTTAATTGTGTCTTGATTGAACCCATTATATTTTCTCCATTAGCTTCTATCAAGTGTTTTATGTCAGTCTCTGTAAATATAAAACAGATTTTCAAATCTTTGAAAGGTAAATTGAAACATATATCTGTGTTTGCTTACTGGTATGTTCACATAGATGGATAGTATAATAACAACTTAATTAGCATTGATTATTTAAAAAGAAAAATTATTTTAAAAGGTCTGGGTTGCAGAATCACAAAACCTTACAGATGAAAGAAATCAGATAAGCCTCATTTTATTGAAGTATTGAGAATTTTAGTGATTTAGTTTCATGAAACCAGATATCTAAGTAATGAGAAAACTGATACAGAAATCGATGTCTCATTCTTTAACTTTTTCTATACATTTGAAACTCTCTTATGCAAGCTAAAATAATCCTAGAATGTTTATGATAAAATATAATTTTCAAGTTTATATTACAAGCACATTCATACTGTATGGATATACCTGGTGATGTGGCATATAATTTTATTCACAGGTCAACTTGTGAGCCATTTTCTCTGACTTTTCCAAGAATATTTTAGCTCCTTTTTAGGTTATATAAGTGTAAATTAAGTGTTATTAGGGATGGAAAAGAATAACAATAATCTTGTGGACTGAGATAAAATACGCTCTCAACTCCATTTATAAAGTAGACTTTGTAGTCTACATTTCTACACCAGAGAAGGGGAAATGCAGAAGATTTGCATTAGGACCAACATAGGATTAGATTCCTTTCCTCTTGAGTTTTTATGCAATCGGAACTTTTTGGTTGATTTCGAAACTACTACTAGGTCCAATGACAGAAAAATTAAAATCAAAGTTAATAAGGAGGAATTCACATTAAAGATTAGATAACAGGATTGGTGAATCCATAATAGGTCATCTATTTGCCTCAAGTTTCATGGTGAAATTTGGATTTGGCAAAGCATATAACTATAGTTGGAAACCTGTAGTGATCCAGACAACATAGGATGGAAGTTTTGCTTTGGAGAAACAGCTGAGTCCATGAATAAATTTTAAGGCTACATCCCATATGTATCACCACTACAATTTGTATAGAGCTAGGGACCATTTGGGGTATCATCACCAAAATGAACAAAGATGCATAAGATTGGCAAAATAAGTTATTAATAACTCATTATAAACATTTTGTGAACCTAATGAGCTATAGTAAAAAAAAAAAAAAAAACAAACCAAAACCTGGGAAACATTAGCATATATATTTAAGTTCTCTGATCTTCTCCTACAGACATAAGTAAGAAAGACTCATTAATTTGAATTAAGAAATCAAAAGGATTTTAGATAAGCAGAGAGACAATAAGAAGAAGATTTTAGGACAATGTTAAACACTAGGAGTACAAAGCTATATGCTGAAGAAATTTATAATCTAGTAAGAGTAAATTTTCTACATTCACGTTATCATCCAATTGCTTTACATTTTTAAAAATCTTATCCTGCTTAGAGTTCCTGAATGATCTTAAATATATATATATATAATACCATATAATTATTCCTTATAAGGTATACAATTCAATGGTTATTAATATATTCACAAAAGTGTGTAACCATCACCTCAGTCAACTCTAGAATTTATTTCAAATTTATACTAATTAAATTCTAGTGAGATACAGAAACATTACTCCTATATGTACAACTTTATTCCCTCATCTAAATTTTTGTGGTTATTGTTAAACATATATTTGTACATATAAAATACATTGTAATAGTTGTTATAATTATTTTATGTAACTTTGTATATGTTAAATAAAGAAAAGAAAATAAGATCTAGTATACATTTATAGTATTTGCTATATTAACATTCTTATATACAATTTTTATTTCTTTTCATTTGTTCTTGTGTATTTGAGTTACCATCAGTGTTGTTTTCTAACCCAAATACCTCATTTCTCTCATTCATCACCTTTGTGCTGCTCTAGTGAAATATATTACATGTCTATTTGTTATAATTGCAACAATACAATTATAATAACACTTTTATACAACTGTCTTTTAAATGTATTTAGAAAAGAAAGGAGATGGAATATACACTTATACGGTCTTTTGGAATTATAACATTTCTTAACCCATGCTCTTTGGGGGTAATTAAAATTACTGTTGGAAGTAAATTCCTTTCAGACTCAAGAACTTTCTTTAGTATTTATTGGAAAACAATTATGCTAGAAAAGAAATCTCTCAATTTTTATTTATTTAGCAATCTCTCTTTCTTTTTTTGCCAGAGACATTGTCTTGTTTTGTCAACAAGGTTGGGGTGCAGTGGCATGATCACAGCTCACTGCAACCTCAAACTTCTGGGCTCAAGCAATCCTCTTGCTTCAGCCTCCCAAGTAGCTGGAACTATAGGGGTGCACCAACATGCCTGAATAATTTTCAAAATTTATTTTAAAGAGACAAGGTTTCACTATGTTGCCAAGGCTGATCTCAAACTCCTGGCCTCAAGCAATACTCCCACCTTTGTTTCCCAAAGTATGCTTAGTAGCCTTTATATTTCACCTGTCTTTTCTTTAAAAACGGTTTTTTATTGAGGTAAAATATACATATATAACTTACAATCTTCAAAATTACACCTTCCTTTCTGAAAGATAGTTTTTCTAGTTATAAAATTCTTAGTTGGCAGTTGTTTTGTTTTAGCACTTTAAATATATCAACCCACTGCCTTCTGAACTCCATAGTTTCTAATGCTAAGTCATCTGTTCATCTCACTGGGGTTCCTTTATACATGATGAGTTGTTTCTCCCTTGATGCTTTTTAGATTTTCTCTGTCTTTCAACATTTTCACTATAATTAGTTTGGTTGTAGATTTCTCTGTGGTCATTCTACTTAGATTTCATCAAGTGTGGATGTGCAGGTTACTGTTATTCATCAAATATTTTTCAAAGTATTCAGTCATTTTTCTTCTAATATTTTTTCTGATCCTTTCTCTCGCTGCTAGAAATGCTCTTCTTCTAGTAGTCCCATTATGTTAGGTTTCCTTATTCTTTCTTCTGACAATTCAAATCTTTTCTTGACCCTTCAGTTAATTTTTTCTCAGTTTTGTACCTTTCAATTCCAAATATCAGTTTGGTTTTCTTAAAAAAGTAATTTGTATCACAATGTTGATATTATATATTTAATGAGATACTGTCATTATATCTTCCTTTTCTTCTTTAAGAAAGGCTTTCTTTAATTCTTAACATATTATAATAACTGCTTTTCAGTAATTATCTGTTAAATCTAACAATCTAGTACTCTCACAAGCAGTTTTTGTTGCCTGCTTTTCTGTATTTGGGTCAAAATTCACTGTTTCTCTGTATGTCACAAACATTTTTGCTACAATCTGAGCATATTAGACAATTTATTTTAACAAGTATGTATACTATTTCACTCTTCTCCTTTAGAGGGCTTGTTGTTTTTGTTTGCTTGTTTTGTGTGAGTGTGTGTGTGTGTGTGTGCATGCGTGTGTATATGAGAGAGAGAAAGAGAAGCACAGAGAGACACAGAAAGATTTGGCAGAAGTATTTTACTAAAGTTTCTTTCCTCTACTAGGTAAAAATCTCTTATGTCACTCCTTTTTTTCTTTATTATTATTTTTTATTTTGGCATATTAAGGGGGTACAGATTTTAAGGTTTCAATAAATGCCCATTCCCCTCACCCCCCCAAAAGTCTGAGTCTACAGCATGACAATCCCCCAGAAGGTGCATATCTCACTCATTATATATGTATATACCCGCCCTCCTCCCCCATCCCACCTGCCCAATACCCTATTACTGTAGTACCTATGTGTTCACTTAGGTGCTGCTCAGTTAATACCAATTTGCTGCTGTGATGTATATGTTGTGCTTGTTTTTCCATTCTGGATAACTTCACTAATAGTATGGGTTCCAGCTCTAACCAGGAAAATATAAGATGTGCTAATCACCGTTGTTTCTTAGAGCTGAATAGTACTCCATGGTATACATATACCACATTTTATTAATCCATTCTTGGATTGATGGGCACTTGGGCTGTTTCCACAGCCTTGCGATTATGAATTGTGCTGCTATAAACATTCGAGTGCAAGTGACTTTTTTGTAGAGTGTCATCGGATCTTTTGGGTAGATGCCCAGCAATGGATTACTGGATCAAACGGTACATTCACTTGAACACTTTAAAGTATCTCCATATTGCTTTCCACAGAGGTTGAACTAGTTTGCAGTCCCACCAGCAGTGTAGGAGTGTTCCTCTCTCTCCGCATCCACATCAGGATTTATTGTTTGGAGACTTTTTGATAAAGGCCATTCTCACTGGAGTTAAGTGATATTTCATTGTGATTTTGATTTGCATTTCCCTGATGATTAGAGATGTTGAGCAATTTTTCACGTTTGTTGGCCATTCTTCTGTCTTCTTTAGAAAAGTTTCTGTTCAAGTCCTTTGCCCACTTAAATAGGGTTATTTGATTTTTTCTTGCTGATTTTCGTGAGTTCTAAGTATATTCTACTTATCAGTCCCTTATCGGAGGCGTAGGATGCAAAATTTTTCTCCCATTCTGTAGGTTGTCTGTTTACTTCATGACTATTTCTTTGCTGTGCAGAAGCTTTGTAGTTCATCATGTCCCATTTTTTTTCTGTTGCTGCTGTGATTGCCTTTGGGACTTCTTCATAAATTCTTTGCCTAGGCCGATGTATAGGAGAGTGTTTCCAACTTTTTCCTCTAGAATTCTAATAGTTCATACCTTAGGTTTAAGTCTGTTATCCAGCGTGATTGATTTTGTGAGAGGTGAAAGGTGCGGGTCTTGTTTAGCTTCTACAGGTGGCTATCCAGTTTTCGCGCACACCCATTTATTGAAAAGGGATTCTTTCCCAGCGTATGTTTTTGTCTGCTTTGTCAAGATTAGATGGCTATATGAGGAGGTTTTATATCAGGATTCTCACATCTGTTCCACTGTCATGTTCCTATTTTGTCCAATACCAGATTGATTTAATTACTACAGCTTTGTAGTGTAATTTGATATCTGGCTTATTAATGCCCATTTTGTTTTTGTGCCTAGAATTACTTTTCATATTCAGGTCTTC